AGTCCACGAAAGCTTATGCTCTAATAAACTTGTTAGTCTCTAAGGTGCCACAAGTCCTCCTGTTCTTCTTTTTGTTATTCCTAAAATAATTCTACGAGTCAAAAATTTCCCCTAAACCAATCCTTGAAGGAAAGGCAACATTTAAGAGAGAAGTTCAGTTAATAGCCTGTTTGAGACAAGTTGTTACACCCAAAAGACATGTGGTGCTTTTATCATATTGTCATTCCACAGCTGCACTATAAACAGTTCTCACTGTATCGATTGATTTTCAGACAAGGGCCTGAAAAGTGTATGTTGTAGATCCTGGGCTGGGAATGAGGGAGAATATAGTTCCCCCTTTCAACATAGTTAAGTAAGGAAATGAGTTGAGTAAGTCCTGGAAGGGAAGCTGGGATTTTTCCTCCCCAATAATTTCAGTGTTACCAACACTGCAATTTGCACAGTGCAACCTACTGAGGGCCAAATCCGGCTTCCATTGCAAGGTGCAGGTATTTGGCGATGAAACAATTCTGCAGCTCTTAATCAGTCCTTAGGCTAAATTTCCACTCATGTCCATGGATGTTTAGCCTAACTAAGGACTGAGAGCTGCAGATTGTGGCCCTACAAATGGAGATTTGTTATATCAGAGTTCATGATAGTAGTAAGAGTTACCAGGATTCTGGCCAAATTCCAGCGAGGATGGGTTCATGGTTCCTGCCTACATTTCTCCTTCAATTTCAAACTTTTCTTCTTCATCTCTTGCCCTGAACAATTAACTGTGTTACTATATATTGTTAAACAGTTGTTGTGTCATCCCAGAAGTGGCTGCATTTCAGGTGGTAGGTGAAGCATGTTCTAGATAGGGATATTTTCCCGACTCAGGGCCTTAAGCATTACATCTAATTTAAATACAGGTAACTTATGTAAACCCCAATAATGCCTTGTAGATCTCATCCAATTAATAGATTTTAAGGCACGATGGAACTATTAGATCATCTAGTCTATTACAGGCCATGGTATTTCATGAGCACAACAATTTGTGTTGGGCTAAAGCACATCTTCCAGAAAGGCATCTGGTCTCGATCTGAAGATGACAAGAGATGGGGACTCCACCACTTCACTTGCTTGCTTGTTCCAATGGTTGATCATGCTCACCGTTAAAAATAAAATTCATATTTCACAAGGACAGTGTATGAAAATCTTATAAAACTTCCTCATAAGATCCACACTTGTGATTGTTGTAAACTTGGCTGAGGCCCAAATACTTGAGTCAAATTACTGAAAAAAATAAAAGTAAGTCAGCATGAATGAGTGTGAAATATGATTCTGAAAGATCTTTTTATGGTATTTTCAGTAATTCAGTGTCTTAGCTATGTTAAGGAACTTCTTGGTTTTATGCATAAACATTAACACAAATGCTGAATAAATATTATAAATGATATTATATATTCACATATCTCATTATATGCCTTATATGCACACTCAGATTAAACTGTCCTGATTCAAAGTGATGTCAGGTAAAGTCATGAAAACTTAAACTTATTTCCAATGCCTCCTGGATAAAGAAAATTATTGAATGCCAGTCCTAAACAGGATAGCATTATCCTTTAATATTTACCTATCTTGGCCACCACAGTTGGCTCAGTGAGATCTAGCCCTGCTATCTATTTCAAGGTTACAGTTCAGCTTGCAGATGGCAAAGTCACACAGGCCATATGGATGTGAAGACTTTTTGATTAGCTTGTCATGTAGACATAGACAATGGAGAAAATGGAACCCAAACATAAAGCTGTAAGCAGGGCCGGCTCCAGGCACCAGCCTACCAAGCATGTGCTTGGGGCGGCACCTGGAGGGGAGCGGAGCTCAGGGTTGGGTTTTTTTTTGTTTTTTGTTTTAAACATACTGGGGCTGTTGGGGCACCCGGCGGCGCTCCGGCTGGCCAGGGAGAGCAGGGCCGCGGCCGGGCTTGCCGCCCCCCCCGCCGCACTCCCCGCCAGGGGGCGGGAGGCAGCGGGAGGCTTTTTTGCCTGGGGCGGCAAAAAAGCCAGAGCCAGCCCTGGCTGTAAGTGCCTCCTGTACGGATTTCAAAGGCTACTGAAAGGTTAGAAGAGGGGACAAGCTCATTCTGATGGATAGGCTTGGAAGGATTAGTTTTTAATCCGTAAACGTTGATTTCATCGTACCCACATAAACTGACGAAAAAAATGTTTCCATAGGTAACATTTACAGATAGGCAAAGTAAGAAAAATGCTGCTTGAGAATTTATTAGTGTTTGATTTAAGGATATTGACTTTGTACATTTTGACATGTGATGCTGACAATTTGTGTTTTAACAGTTATAACTCTTTAACTTTTTGAATCTCAATATATATTGTCATTAAACAATTCCTGTCTGAACCCTGTACTTCCTGGTCCTGTCCCTAATTTCCCACAACTGTGCACATTTAAATTGATAAAAATAGAAAAAAATGCTTAAAACCCATCATTTTGTACATCAGTGAAAATGTAAAATGATAAAAAGGCTTAACAATAAACACCAATATTATCTGTCAAAATAATAAAAAATAAAAATTGAATTCTGCCAAAGTTTCTGATATAGCAAGAGATACCAGGGCTGGCAGAAGATTAAACAGAAACTTTTATGGTATCCAAAAAATTGAAGAAAGACATGCACTGAAATGTAAAAAGTTAACAGTATCCCCAGCCTTTGAAGAGTTCGAAAAGTGTCTGCTCATGCAATGTAAGCAGAATTGAAGCAAAGGTTCCCGTCCTGGGTGGAAGGAGCATGAGGGCCCTTTTTGCTTTGTCGGTTTAAATAGCACAGGTCCTTGATGCCTTTGATTCTGTTTCCGACTTTTGACACTCTCTCTCCCCTCTACCTTCGAACTTGCAAGTGTAGTCAGAATTGACCCAACCATTTTGATCCGGTTTGGTTTTACACTCAAGAGGCAAATTCGTACCCGCTGAGAATCTTCTCCAACACATGGAAAACCAGGCTTCCTGAATTCAGTGGAGTTACTTTTGATTTACAATGGTGTGTTTAGAGACTTCCCCATTGCATGTAGTTCTGGTCCCCATGGTTTAGCAAAGATATTGGGAGGGAAAGATGCTACAGTAGAAGCAATGGAGGCTCTGAGGAGAAGCTGATACGGTTAAGTTGAAGTAGTCTAGCATAGAGATGGCTAGGAGTGAATTTTGTCAGTCTATAAATAGTTTCAAGGTGATAATGTCAATGAAGACAGGGAATTATTCACAGTTTCAGAAGATGGTAGAATGAAAAACAAACAAATCCTGAAGCTAAAGAAGGAAAAGTTGAGGCTAAACAGTCTCAGATCAAGAGCACTTGAGCAATGGAACAGGCTCCCAAGTGAAGCCGTTGGGGCACCATTTGTGTGGATATTCCAGAACAGATTGGATAACCCACCAGTGGTGTCTTTATTATAAGGAGAGTCAGTAATGACCCCTGTGTATAGGTGGCTATATTGCATGCAGTGAAGTCATCTTGTGAACTCGCGTGCAGTGAAACTCCATTTATAGTGAAGTAGAGTGAAGGTTAGAGGTTGCTGCAATGCACTGAGGTGTCAGTTCAGTTAGGGTTCACTCTGCTTAGAGTTACTTTTCTGTGAAAGAAATGGTTTCTCTAAATAAAGTTCCACAGATTGCATACAGGATATTTATTGGCAGTGCCAAATATGCAACAGGTGTAGTTCAGCGTGAGATGAAATATTGCAATTTATGATATAACCCTTACTTTGAAATGTGACAAAAATATGTTCTCTGCCTGATACTTATCTTTACTTCTTGTGAAGTTATTATTAATATTACTTATTATTTGTGTTGCCACCTAAGAACCCTAGTCATGGACCAGGATCCCACTGTGATAGGCACTGTACAAACAGAACAAAAAGACAGTCCCAAATAAAGAGATATCCTAGCTCCTAGAAGTGGAAAGGACCTTGAAAGGTCATCAAGTCCAGCCCCCTGCCTTCACTAGCAGGACCAAGTACTGATTTTGCCCCAGATCCCTAAGTGGCCTCCTCAAGGTTTGAACTCCTAACCTTGGGTTTAGCAGGCCAATGCTCAAACCACTGAACTATCCCTCCTGGTCCCAAAGAGTTTACAATCCAAGTATAAGACTAGAGACAACAAATGGCTACAGACAGACGGGGGAGTACAGCCAAATAATGAGACAATACTTTTGTTATTTCACAGCTCTGGATACACTTAAATATTTTGGGGGAGGTGGTGACAAAATAGGTAGACAAAGGGTTTTTGATGACAGCCCTATTTCCCCCCCCTCACCTTCCCCCCCCGATATGTGCCTGAGTGAGATAGGACAAAGCTCCCCAACATCAGTGAAAAATAGCCCCATCTGACATTGATCCCTAAACTCAACATGTTTAAACCAGAGCATTTTCAACAATGCCAGTGACCTGTTGAGAGTACAATTGTATATGTACAGCATATTATGTTTAGAAACCACTAGACTCATGTATATTATAATTGAAGGGGAAAATAAATGGTAGAAAATGACATGCATATATATAAAACAACTACTAGGGGCTTGTGGTTATACATTTTGATATTTTAGCGATATAAAATATATTTTAGATATATATTTCTAAGAAAGCAGAATTTAGTAATATAGGAAATGTACCATGACTTTAGGT